TACAGCCATTTTGGAAATCAGTACGGTAGTTTCTCAGAAAACTGGAATTCAAATCTACCTCAAGGCCCAATGATACCACTCTTGGACATATACCCAAGGGATGCTCAATCATACCACAAGGACACTTGCTCAACTATGTTCATAGCCACATTATTCATAATAGCCAGAACCTGAAAACAACCTAGATGCCCCTCAACCGAGAATGGATAAAGAAAATGTAGTACATTTACACAATGGAGTACTACTCAGCAGTTAAAAAACAATGACATCATAAAATTTGCAGGCAAATGAATGGAACTAGAAAATATTATCCTGAGTGAGGTAACCCAGACTCAGAAGGACAAATACAGCATGTATTCACTCACAAGTGGATACTAGATGTAAAGCAAAGGATAATCAGACAAAAACCCACAGCTCCAGAGAAGCTAGAAACAAGGAGAACCCTAAGAGAGATATATGGATCACCTTGGAAAGGGGAAGCAGAGGAGACCCCCATGAGTAAACTGGGGAAGAGGGAGGGTAATAAAGGGGAGGGGATGGGGGATGAGAACACGAGGGAACAGGATGGTCAAACTAGAGGAGGGATGGAGTGGAAGAGCAATGAAAGAGATATATTGATAGAGGGAGACGTTATGGGGTAAGGGAGAAACCTGGTGCTAGGGAAGTTACCAGGAACCCACAAGGACAACCCCAGACTACGAGTAATAGTGGTGAGGGTGCCTGAACTGGCCTACCATGGGGTAATCAGATTGGTGAATACCCTAACTGTCATCATGGAGCCTTCATCCAGTAACTGATGGAAGCAGATGCAGAGATCTATAAACAAGCACCAGGCCAAGCTCCAGGAGTCCAGCTGAAGAGAGGGAAGAGGGATTATATGAGCAAGGAGGGGTCAAGATCATAATGGGGAAATCTAAAGAGACAACTGAACCAAGCTCAAAGCAACTCATGAACTATAGACCAACAGCTGTAGAACCTGCATGGTACTGGACTAGACCCTCTGCATAAGTGAGACAGTTATGTAGCTGGGTCTGTTTGAGGGGCTCCGGCAGTGTGATCAGGATCTATCCCTAGTGCATGAGCTGGCATTCTGGATCCCATTACCTATGATCAGACACCTTGCTCACCCGATAAAGCAGGGAGGGGCTTGGTCCTGCCTCGACCAGGCTTACCTGTCCTCCCTTGGGACAAGTTACCCTGTTGGAGGAGGGGATGAAGGGTGGGCCGGGGGAGGGGAGCAAGAGGAGGGATGAGAGGGGGATCTGTGGTTGGTATGTAAAATGAATTAAAAAATTAAAAAAAGAAAAAAGAAAACAAACAAAAGCCATGGAGTCCAGTTTGTGTTAATCTACCCTGGACTGTGGTTAATGTACCCAATGTCACTCCATTGAAGAAAATGGATTTTCCCTCTCCCAGAAGCTGTCAGTTGTGAATAAGTCCTTGACTAGAGGTGGGCATTCTAAATGAAATAAACATACCTAAAGCTTAAAAGCTAACACTCACATATGAGAGAAAATATAGGTGTTTGTCTTTCTGGGTCAGGTTACCTCACTCAGGATTTCCAGTTCCATCCATTCACCTGGAAATTTCATAACTTCGTTTTTCTTAACAGCTGAATAATCTCTCATTCTATAAATGTACCACATTGTCATTGTGCATTAATCAGTTGATGGACATCTAGGCTGTTTCCAATCACTAGTATACAGAATCAATGGATATAGATGAGCGAGTATCTCTGTAGTAAGATGTGTATCTCCAAGAGCTGTATAACTCGATCTGGTGGTAAATCTATTTTCAGCTTTTGAAGAACCTCCACACTGATTTATTTCCATAGTGACTGTACCAAGTTGCATTATCACAAGATGTGAATACGTGGTTCCCTTTTCCCTGCATCTGCTGTCATTTGCTTTATTAATCTTGGCCATTCTAACTGGGGTAAGAACAACTCCCAATGTAGTTTTGCATTTCCCTGATTGATAAGAATGTTGAACACTTTTCAAAGTATTTCTCAGCCATTTGGGTTTCATCTTTTGAGAACTCTGTTTAGATCCATGTCCCATTTTACTGCAGTTTTTCTAAATGTTTAGAATTTTTTGTTCTAGAACTTTCAGATGCATAATTGCTAAATCATGTTTCCCATTCTGTAGGCTGTCTATTCAAATGAGAATGCCCTTTGCCATTTATTCACTCTTAGACTTAATGTCTGTGCTATCAGGGTCTGGTTCATAATGTCCTTTCCTGTGCCTACATGTTCAAACTTGTTCCCTACTTTCTCTTCCATCAGATTCAGGATATCAGGTCTTACATTTAGATCCTTGATCCATTTGGAATCCAGTTTTGTACAGGGTGAGGGAGAAGTGTGTAGTTTCATTCTGACATGCAACTATGCAGTTTGATCAGGACCATTTGTTGAAGATGCTGTCTTTTCACTAATGTGTATTTTTGACTTCTTTATAAAATATCAAGGGTCTTAAATTCTATTCTATTGATCAATGTCTCTTTTTAACTTAAAAATATTTTGTGTGACTATGGGTTTCTAACTGCATGTACATCTGTGAACCACCTGCATGCAGCGCCCTTGGGGACCTAAAGAAGATAATGGATTACCTAGAAACAGATGGTTCTGAGACATCATTTGGGTGCTGGGAATCAAATCCAGATCCTCTGGAAGAACAGGCAGTCCTCTTAACCACTGAATCATCTCTCTAGCCACAACTTGTCTGGTTTCTTTGTTTGTTTGTTTGTTTGTTTTTCTTTGCCAATACCATGCTGGTTTTATTACTGTAGCTCTGGAGTACAGCTTAAAAATCAGGAATGGTGACACCTCCAATACTTTTTTTATTGTTCAAGATTGTTTTTAGCTATCCTGGGGCTTTTGTTTGTTTCTATATAAAGTTTTAAGATTTTGATGGGATGGCAATGAATCTGCAGATTGCTTTTGGTAGGGTGGCCATTTTCACACAGTTAATACTACCAACCCATGAGCATGTTAGGTCTTTCCATTATCTTCTGATGTCTTCAATTTCTTTCTCCCATGTCTTAAAGTTTTTATTAAACACATCTTTCATTTCCTTGTTACATGATGTGTGTGCATGATTATGAAAGTTGTTGTTTCCCTGATTTCATACTAAG